ACAATATTCTCATCAACTAATGGATATTGAAAAGACATGAAATTAAGATTTTTTTAAAATCATAATTTTAAGTTCTATTTTTTATTCATCTTATTAAAATATAATTATTAATTATAAAAAAAACCTGATTGTGTCATACAAAATCATTGTGAAATGAAAAGCCATTGTTGAATTACTTTAACATGGAGGTTGAGGTGGAAACTCTTCATTCATTGAAATCTGACTTTCATAAAACCCTTTTTTAGCATCATACCCTTCATTTTGTGCATTCATCTTCCAGGATAAATACTTACAGATTAAAATAAAAAATATTAATTAGAAACAAACTTGATGAAAATGTTTTAAGTGTTTTTGAAGTGAAGGACAATAATCTTCAAATCCTAGTCTATCTAATGCATCTATAATGTCTGTTCCTGTAAGAGTATGTTTAGGTTTTACGGATCCTTTTGGTACATCAGCAGCCCTATTGCTTTATTAATGGTATTATTTGTTTTAAAAAAATAACAAACTCAGAAGCTATAAATGATAAAAATTCAGTTGCTACCTCAGTCATATATTCTTGAGCATCTTTAGAAATACGCACCGCAGATCCATTAGGCATTGAAACTGAATTTTTCATTACACGAGTGGTGTTTGCTACTGGTAAAGAAAGAGTGTCAATAGGTTGTGATTTCCATTTGTCTTGTGGAGTATTATGGTCTTGTTGAGGAGTGTCAGAAGCACTAAACATGTGATAGTATTAACAAAGATATATTGCCTTTTAATTGTTTCATTTTTTATGATGATTAATATATGTTATATATAACATTTAATAATCAAAAATTATAAAACCTAATTTGTAATTATAAAAAAACTAATAAAGTATAGTTTTATTGAATCATCTAAAAAACAAGATTGAAAGATGACAGAAAAGGAAGGTGGATTAGATCAAATCCTTGATAATATCGTAGGTAATGAAAAGCTTATCAAAAAACCGGGAAAAACAAAACAAGAAAAAATGCAAGAAAAAGAATTGAAAGAAAAACAAAAACTAAGAAAAATGTTTCTCGAAAAAGAACATAATAATACATGTGTTTTAATTGATGAACATGAAAGAGAGCTTAAAAAAACTGCTATGAAAGGTGTTGTACAATTATTTAATGCTATTGCTGAACATCAACATAAATTAAAAATCGCAGAAATGAAAGATGAAACAGGGTTAAAAGATATTGATGATTTTGTTGATGAAACAGTATCAAAAGATGATTTCTTTAGTAAAATTATTGCACAACAACAAAAAGAGCGAAAAGAAATTCAAGCTCATGCCAGTGAAACTTCAAAGAAAATTTATGAGGGAAGTTCTGTTAAAAAACAAAAACGAATTGATGAAGAGAAAAAAGCTAAAGAACAAAAGAAGATTGAGAAATCAAAAATCAAAAAAGAAAAACGAGCTGAAAGAAATAAAGAAAAGAAAGAAGAAGAAAAATTTGTTTCAGGAACAAAGAAAGATAAGAATGAAAAGAAACCAAAAAAAAATAATAAAAAGTAATTTATCATGAATTGATTTTTTTGATTGACTTAATCCATTTAAGTTAAATAATTTTTATTAATTAAGTAAAGAAACAATAAAAAAAAGAAAAGTTGAAATTTACAGGTTGGAAGGAGGTAATAATAATTTATAAGAATAATGATATAGTCTTATTGAAAAAAAAATTTACTTAGACTTTTGTTTTATTTGTGGAAAACAGAAAGTCATAATAATTAAAATGTTTATTTCAATTTACTATTTATTTTTTTAATAAAGAATAATTTTTTTCTTCTCTTTATTTATTCAACTGAATTACATACCATTTTTTATCATTGAAAGAGCCTCTCTTAATAGATAGAAGTTTCCCCTTAGTTGATTCACTCAGTGACTTCCAGTCAAAGATAAGACCTATTTTTTCCAGTAAATCTATCATTTAAATGAACAATACCATTACTATCAATTAAGAGTATTCAGTCATTGGTATTAGGGTATAAGGCTCTTGTAGTGTTTTTTTTCTTGATTGTTAAGACTTTTCAGACATCATTGGTTTTGGTTTAACTGTTCTTGTATCAATAACAGCAGCATAACCATCTTCACCACTACCAGCTATAGGTTTCCACGTCTGAATATATGATTGTTGTTAGTAATGTTTGTCCAGTGACTCATAAAATAGGAGAATGACAGAGTGTTCTAAGAACCTAGCAAGTGACTACTCTTTCATATGCACAAGCAGAGATAAGAGAATGAATCTTTTTATTAAAGTCAGAAACATTAATTATGCCATTATGAAATTCACTGAGAGCTTTATGGAGTTGTATTATTTCAAAATTAAATATAAACATAATATTTTCATACTCTGAAGAAATGAATTTAAAATCATCATAATTGACTGATAAAGATGAAGCTCTTGTTAATTACCAAGTATTTTTAGTGAGTGTTTAGTGTTTATATCGAATAGAGAAATTATTACATCTAATGAGCCAACAAATATTTTTGACTGTGCATTTAAAGTTTTTCCCCAATTAAGGCTTCATGTTAGTGAGTCAAATTCAGTTTCATATTCTATAAATTTTCTGAACGAATAGAACCTTCATGTAATTTTCTATTTTAGCGGTTAATGTAATAGAGTCTGGATTAGTTAATGAAAAAAATTATTTATATAAAACCTTTAATAGTATAAAAGATTCAGTCAATCCTTGAATAAGAAAATTAGGAATAAATCTATAATCTATTTTTCTTTATATTTATCTTGCACTTATGGTTCTAATTGGTTAATTAAATTACTTCCTTTCTAAATTGGAAAATAATATAATATAGATTGATTTAATTCTAATTTGGTATTAATTGGTAAATTCTTTGATATAAGGTAAAAATGATATTAGTATTGTATAAATATTACTAGGTCTCGTATTTGGACTAATAATTGATAAAACTTTATTAAAATAGATTTTACTTGTGATTTTAAGTGTTTCCGTCTTTCATAGACTTGCTTTTTTTGAACCTTAAAATTATATAATCTTATCTAATCAAGAGCTAAGTTTGTGTAAAGATAGTACTCTCTATTTAATTGTTGATAGATTTATAGTTCATGATGTTAGAGATGTCATTTGATAAAGATGACTAAAATTAAGTTTGCCATCTATTGGAAGATTGGTAGAGCCATTTACGTTATTTAATTGGGTGATAATTGAGACTTTTTCAAATTGGCTATTTTTGATGCTCAAATAGGACAGTGTTGTCATATTATTTATTCATTCAACATAAGTTATAATATTATTACTAACATCAAGGTATTTTAATTTTAATGATTCTTTTCAATAAACACATTACCGTTGAACTTGTTGATGAGGTATTTTTAAATTAAACGCATGTGTATGTTATGACTGATATGACTACTTGATTATGCTTTAATCAGTCATAGTCTTAACTAATTAACCAAATTAAAAGCAATTAAAAAGAAACGTTAGTACTGTCTATAAATTTTTGTATTTCTTCTTTTTCATTCTTCTTTCAGAGATAACTTTTCTTATTATGTAACGTTGAGTAATTGAAGAATAAAACTATTTTATTAAACAAGTTTGAGTATTAAAAGATAACAACAATTTTATATAATTTTCATTTTTCATCAAAACAAGTTTTTGAGCATAAATATTAAAATATTTATTAATAAACACAGTTAATAATATTTGGATATTTAATATGAAGTTATTATAATTTATTTATTTCATTTTAGTGTGTTATCATAATTTCATGTGTAAAACATCAAGTTGTTCGTATTTTGATGTTTATGTTTGTAATGTATTAATGTATTATATTTTTAATTCCAGTTTCTTTAATCTTCTTATTAACTCTTTATGTATTAATTTATTGTTACTATTACTGTGGTTATCTCCACATATTTTAATTATTTATTATGTTTTATTTTTTCCTGCATTTATTTATTTTGTGAGTATAATGCAACTCTATATTCTTATCTTGAAATACAACAATAATATTAATATATAATTTCTTGTCTTTTATATTTTGGTAGTAAATCTAGTGTCTTCTATCATTGAATGAATTATCATTAAATCTGAGCTTCTAGCATGGAAAGAATGGTCACTAACCAGTAAATTTTTAATGTAAGTTATGACATTTCAGTATTATAATACATTTAGGATGATTATTAAAATCAGTTGCATCAAAATCAATGAAAGTTGTAATTAATATATGTTTAAATATTTGTTTACACAGATTGATGTTTTGGTATTTGATTCCTTTTCATTGTATTTTATTATGATGATAGTGTTTATTTATATTTAAGCTGTTGTTAAATAATTATTGAGATTAAAATGAATGAATGATGAGTGATGTAATTAAGATAATAATGAAAATAATTATTATGATTGTTGCTATTCTAATGAGTTTTATATAAAAATTATTATTTATTTTTATATTGTTATTGAGATTTGTTAATGAAAATAAGTTTATCCTATTTCTATTAAGTCTTTTATAATAGCTTTTTTATCTCCTCTGCAACCATCTTTGTCTTATTTTTAGGGATGCATCAAAAATATTTTTGAAATGTACTATAAATCTATTCTTAAAAAAATCTATTTTAAGTTTCCACGTCATCCAATGAGATAGACGAAAACCATTTCGTTAGTTACATAAACTTAAGTTAACTAATCAAGACTTAATGTTCTATGAATTTTCTTAAATATATTTCAGCAACGAATTCAAATAAGTAAAATTCAGACGTATTTAATGATTTTAGTTTCATTAGACTCAAAACAAAAGAAAAGTTGATAAAAAGTTATTTCGTTTGTTCCAAAAACAGAAGTTAAAAAAGTTAAGAATAATAAAGAACATCCCCAAATGATTAGGAAAAATAAGTCATATTGAATAATGTATTTGGACGTGCTTTGACCAAATTGAAAACTCCATATGACTCTAATTTTCTCTGTTTGTATGAGAAACTATTTAAACTCTGAAAATTGAATCTCTAACATTAATGTTCACTGTTCTGTTATTGGTAGTCGTAGCATATGCTACAAATTTCAATACTTGGGTTGCAAATAATAATAAACATTTTACTATTGTTGAATCTCTTAGAAGAAGAGCTATTTTCAATAATAATGCTCGTTTTATTGCTAAATTCAATAAAAACAATTCATTCAAATTATCAGTTGAAGGACCATTTGCTGCAATGACTGAGGCTGAATATAATTCTATGTTAAAACCATTTGTCATTGATGAACAACATGAAGAGATTATTAATGATTCTATGAGAGATGCACCAGAGTCTGTTGATTGGAGAGCTCAAGGGAAAGTTCCAGCCATTAGAGACCAAGCATCATGTGGGTCATGTTATAGTTTTGCTTCTGTTGCTGCTATTGAAGGAAGATTGTTGGTTGCTGGATCAAAGAAATTTACAGTTGAAGATCTTGATCTTTCAGAGCAACAACTTGTTGACTGCTCTGTTTCTGTTGGAAATAAAGGATGTAATGGAGGTTCTCTTCTTTTAAGTTTCAGATATGTTAAATTAAATGGAATAATGCAAGAAAAAGATTATCCATATGTTGCTGCTGAAGAAACTTGTACTTATGATAAAAAGAAAGTTGCTGTTAAAATTACTGGACAAAAATTAGTTAGACCAGGAAGTGAAAAAGCACTTATGCGTGCTGCTGCTGAAGGACCAGTTGCTGCTGCTATTGATGCTTCTGGAGTTAAATTCCAATTATATAAGAGTGGTATATATAATAGTAAAGAATGTTCATCAACTCAGCTTAATCATGGTGTAGCAGTAGTTGGTTATGGTACTCAAAATGGAACTGAATATTGGATTGTTAGAAATTCATGGGGAACTATTTGGGGAGATCAAGGATATGTTTTAATGTCAAGAAATAAGAATAATCAATGTGGTATTGCTTCAGGAGCTGCTTATCCAGTTGGGGTTGCTGATGCTTAAGAGATTTTGATTTAAACTTTTAGTTTATATTTTTTATATATAAATATTCATCTGTCATATCTTTTTTCATTTTAATATTCATTTACTAATAAATAAAAATTAAATGAAATTTTTGAAATTGTTAAATTACAAAGATATATTTTGAAGTAATTCTAAATATCCTTTTTTTATTGTAATTATACCATTTTCTGATGGAAGAGAAATTATTTTTTTATTAATTGCAGATCCTATACGAGAAATAGATTCTTGGTCAAACATCAACTTGTTTTTATTAAATACTTTATAAGCGATATCAATCTTACACATTCCTTTCTTTCCAGTAGTTGTTCTTGTTTGGAAAAAATATCCAAATTCAGATAGAAGATCCATTATTAAATGGAGAGTTTCAGTAATTTTGTAATTTTCTGATCTTCTTTGTGCAGTTTTTCGAGAAACTCCTTGAGATAATTCTTCTTTTAATCTTTCATTAATTCTATTATTAACCCAGTCATTAACTGCAACACAATCATCTGTTCCTCTTTGGATTTCTAAAATTCTAAGGAAAGGAAGAGTAACAACACACCTTTTATTTGGACAAATTAATTTAATAGTAAATTCTTGAGAAAGAAGAGCCAAAAAGAGACTCTCTTGTTCACTTTGATAATCTCGATTTTCTTTAAATGAATAGCAACATTTGTATTCTGAAGTTTTTTTGTGAGTCTCTCTTCTATAGTGGATCATATTCATCTGGTTGATGACTTTCATTTGGTTTGGTTGATAAAATTTATAAGATTTGATCTAGTCATTTCTCTTTCATTTTCAGATAGTCCTAACATATATTGAAACGAAAGTTAATGATAAGATATGATTTGTGTTTAGTTTATTTTAATTGTTTATGCTTATTCTTATGAAACAATGCCTTTTCTGATTATTTTCATTCAAACCCCTATCTTTATTGTTTCACTCCTCTGTAAACCACCATCCCTATAAAAATATAATGGTATTTGTGATGACGTGCTATCATTCAAAAATGTTAGCCTATATTTATTCTTCTTCGTTATGGTAGTTTGTCCCCAGCAAAAATAGTATGACTTTACTCATTTCAAAGCAAAGTGAAAATCTAACGTCCACAAAAAGTTATATCTTTTTTAAAAGCCAAAAACAAAAGAGAGTTTATTTTTTAATAAAAATAACAATTGATAAATTAACATTTAAGGATCTACTTCCGGTTGAGGTAATATTTATCCGCCTATTTGACATTTCCTAAATTTTTGTTAAAGATATGATTCGCTCTAATTTTTTTTTTTAGAATAACATAATATAATTTTAATTCAAAAATGTTATTAATTACAAAAGATAAATCAATAACTCAGAGTATAAGAAAAAAAAAGGAATGAGGAATAGAGAAATAATAATATCAAAAAAAAAAAGTAAACTAAAAAATATATTTAACTTTTTATTAATGAACAAAGCATGGGATTTTTTGCAAAAAAAAATACCCTTTTTAAGAAAAAAACCTGAACAACCTCGGACAATTATTATTCCTATTACTAAACAAAATAAAAAGTTCTGCTCTAATAAAGTTGAAAATAATAGATATACTTATTTGAACTATATTCCTAAATGTCTATTTAATCAATTCAAATATTTCTACAACCTTTATTTCCTTATAACTGCATTATCTCAATTTGTTCCAATTCTTCAAGTTGGATATCGTTTTACTTATACAATGCCATTAGCTTTTGTTGTAATTCTTGCAATGGCAAAAGATGCATATGACGATATTCGTATTAGAATAAGAGACAAAGTTTGTTTTTGTTAATTAAATTCATAATAATTGTATAAAACATTTTGTCATTTCATCTTATTTATTAGCAAACAAATTCTCAACCATTCACTCAATTAATTGGAGGTGAACCTAAAGAAATTCAATCAAAAGACATTGTTGTTGGAAATATTCTTAAATTAAAGAAAGATGAAAGGGTACCAGCAGATTGCTTAATTTTAAGATCAACAGAAGAAAGTGGATCAATTTTCATTAGAACTGATCAATTAGATGGTGAAACTGATTGGAAATTAAGACGTGCCATTGGAGAAACACAAAAAATGGATATTCAAACAATTTGTAATTCTCAATTTGAACTTAATGTGGAAGCACCTCATGCTGACGTTTATTCTTTTCAAGGAACAATTAGAATTAATGAAGATCCTAAAATATATTCATTAAATGTTGAAAACACTGCATGGGCTAATACTATTGTTGCAAGTGATGAGATGTGTGCATTAGTTATTTATACAGGAAATGATACAAGACTAGCACGAAATAGAAAACAAAGTGGAAATGTTAAACGAGGAAAAACAGAAGATGAAGTTAATTTTCTTAGTAAAATCTTGTTTTGTAGTTTAATGGGACTATCAATATTAATGATCATGCCAGATTTAGTCCAACATCCTAATTGGTTTATCTTAGTATCATTAACAAGATTTATGATTTTATTTTCATCTATTATTCCTATTTCAATGAGAGTTAACTTAGATATAGCTAAGATGGTATATGCATTTTTTATTAATAGAGATAAAGACATTGCTGGTGCTGAAGTTAGAAATTCTACATTACCAGAAGAATTAGGTAGAGTTGATTTTGTATTATCTGATAAAACTGGAACATTAACTAAAAATGAAATGACTTTCCAAGTATTATGTATGCAAAGTGAAACTATTCGTTCAACAAACTTTGATGATATTAAAGATGACATTAGAGAATGTCTTCAAAGTAATGAAGAAAAAGTTTTATTTAAAAAGAAGAAAAATCCAAAATTTATTATGAGATGTGTTCAAGCAATGGCTCTTTGTCATAATGTTACTCCATCCTTTAATGAAAATGGTGAAAAATATTATCAAGCAAGTAGTCCAGATGAAGTTGCACTTGTCAAATTTGCAGAAAGTGTAGGAGTTGTCTTAGAAGAGCGAACCTTTAAGAAAATTGTATTAAACATGCCTATGATTGGAAATGTAGAATATGAAATATTAAATGTTTTTCCATTTAGTTCAAGTACAAAAAGAATGGGAATTATTGTACGTAATAATAAAGATAATGAAATTTATTTATTAATGAAAGGTGCTGATAATGTTATGGCAAAAATTATCAAAGACAATGAATGGTTAAGTGAAGAGTGTAATAACTTGGCACGTGAAGGATTGAGAACATTAGTATTTGGATCAAGAAAAATGAGTCAAGAAGAATATCAAGAATTTAATGAACGATATGACTATGCTAATACACTAATGACTGGAAGAGAAGAAGAAGTATTAAAGGTACAAGAAAGTATTGAACATGGATTAAATGCAATGTGTATTACTGGTGTAGAAGATGAACTACAAGAAGATGTTCAAAAAACACTTGAAATGTTGAAACAAGCAAATGTTAGAGTATGGATGCTTACTGGTGATAAAGTTGAGACTGCTACTTGCATTGCTAAATCTACTAAATTAGTTGATATTGATCAAGAAATTATACAGTTTTTTGCCAATAATATTGATGAAGCAACAAGTTTAATTTTTAATAATGAAGGATCAATTGGAACAAAGGCATTAATTGTTGATGGAAATACTTTATCTTTAATGTTAAAAGAAATGAGTAAAGAATTTATTCAATTTGCATTAAAAGCACAAGCTGTTGTTTGTTGTAGATGTTTACCATCACAAAAAGCAGATATTGTTAGATTAGTAAAGTCATCAGGACTTACAACATGTGCTATTGGTGATGGAGGTAATGATGTAAGTATGATTCAAGAAGCTGATGTTGGATTAGGAATTGAAGGTAAAGAAGGTAAACAAGCATCAATGGCAGCAGATTTTAGTATTAAACAATTTAGTCATATGTTAAAATTATTGTTATGGCATGGAAGAAATTCATATATTAGAACAAGTGACTTAGCATTATTTATTATGCATCGAGGAATGATTATTTCGATTATGCAAGCAGTATTTTCAATGGTATTTTATTTCACACCAATTACTTTATTTACTGGTATTTTACTTGTTGGATATTCTACTTTTTATACTATGGCTCCAGTATTTTCATTAGTATTAGATGAACGAATTTCATTAAAAGATATTATGCAATTCCCAGTATTATATGTTGAAATGCAAAAAGGTCAAAATTTATCATTTAAAACATTTTCAGCATGGATGTTTATTAGTATATTACAAGGATCAGTTATTATGATGTTAGCAATGATATTATTTGATTCAAGCTTTGTCCATATAGTATCTATCTCATTTACTGTATTAATCTTGATTGAACTATTAAATATTGGATTTACTATTCGACGATGGAATTGGATTATTTTTGCTTCAGAAGCATCATCTGTATTAATGTATCTTATTTCTATTATTGTTTTAAGACCAACTTTTGAACCATCATTTGTATTCAGTCTTGGATTTTGGTGGAGAGTTGCAGTAATTACGTTGATAAATTCATTCCCATTCATTTTGAAATTTATTTATGAATTATTAAATCCACCAAAACACATGACTGTAGGGCATAAAAAGTTCCCTATTTCATTTGACTTGACATGTTGTTGTAATTGTCATAATATTCGAAACAAAAACAAGTACCAAGATATCAATTTTTCTGAAATTTATGATAAAACAGAAACTAATGACGATAGTACTAAAGCATTAATTGATCATTTAAACTAAGTTAATAAAAAAGAATTTATTTCCTTTGTTTAGGTTTTTTCATTTTTTACTAGTTTAATTGTGAATAATAATTTGTAAAATATAATGGAATATAATCTAACTTATCATATGTTGCAAATGAACATATGAAAGAATCTAATTTAAAACAATATAAATAAAGTGAAAGTGATTTGTAATTAATGACTGAATTGAAACTTGTTAATGGTACTGAATTTGTATTTGAGTTAATACAAGGAATGTGATGGTTTAAATTTATAGAAAATGAAGTAATAACATCCCCTAGTCCAATTCCTAATAATTTAACTAATGCTTCTTTAGAACTCCATATAGTCCCAAATAATTGAATTTTATCATTTAATTCAATTATCGAATCAAGTTTTTCTTTTTCATCTTCATTTAAGAATGAAGACATTGACTCTAAAACTCTAGTAAAAGGAATTTTAGTAAAAGTGTTATTAAAACCAAATCTTTTTAAATTGACTATATCAATACCAACTTCTTTTGGTCCTTCAATAAATGCAATACATTCATCATGACTCCAATTATAATGGATATTTTTATTAACAATATCGTATTTTCCATATTCATTACATTTATTATCATTGTGTGAAAGGTTGTATCTCTCAAAAAATTCTTTTCTCATTCTTCTCACAAGACAATACTCTACAGCAGATGGTATCTCATAACTCTTTAATAACATTCCACATGAATCATATCCAATAAAATGACTCATTCTTTTGAACTCTTCATTTGTTAAATTTTTAATTAATGAGTTAAATTGAATTTGATTTAAACAACAAGGAAATTGTATATAAATTGAATAATCCATTATTAATTAAAAATTTTTGAGTTCATTTTGAGTTAAAAGAAATAACAAAAGTTATGAATAAATTCAATTAACATGTGCTTTCTGAGGTTTTGTTTTTAGGGATTGATAAGAAACAAAAATTAAGAAGAAAGTAAACACTAGAAATAAGACTGAAATAAAAGTATCTATGCCAAACATCGATATTACATTTTTTCCAACTGTTTCAAAACAATTTTGTTTCATCAATAACCCAATATCAGAAATACAATTTTGTCTTATACTCTTCCATCCACAACAATTAAATTGTTCTTCAATTACTTGAAGATCATATTCTTCTATTTTATCTACTTTTAATACTGTGTAATCAATACCACACATAATAGCTTGAACTGTTAACATTATGGAAATTAAAACAAATAATGATAATGATATTATTCCTGCAATTATATTCTTCTTTGCTAATGAAATAATTGTTGACACTGATGCTAAACACATTGAAATACCAATTAATATCATTAAAATTCCAATAGATAAAGGATGATGTACTGCTGGTGATAAATTATATCCAGTGTTATACCTAGTTAATCCTAATAATGCTACCATTGCTCCACAAATCTACAGAATAAATAAAAAAGCAAATAGAAAGGATTAATGACAAACAAAATATAGAAAAAATATTAAAAGGAAACATAAGGTATTAGAAGTGTTCATTTGGGTTTAAAAAGAGAAAAACTATTTTTTTTTTATTTTTTGATATGTTTAAGATTTATTTATTAATGACAATGAGATAAATTAAATATTTATAGTACATTTATTATTATTTATTGAAAAAATATATTTAACAAAATATCAAGATATATAATCTTAATAAACAGACCCTTTGGAATGGATTCTATTACATCAAATGATTTTATAAATAATATCAAAGAACAAGTTAAAGAATTTGATTATAAACAATACCAAATGTATATTGGAATCACTGGATTTATTGTTATTACCACTATTCTTCTTTTAATTCTTAGAAAGTATTTGTTTGTTTTAATTATCTCTCTTGTTTAATAACTTCAAACAAAACAATATTTAACTTCTTTTTAGGAAAAGAAGATATGAGACTCAACAATGGATTAACCAAACTATCTACTCAAGACAACCATCATTTGTATCTTTAAGTGGTTCAATTGCCTCAAATAAACAACCCATAAATGGAGAAAGACAAGTCTCAATTTGTTCAAATGGCCTTATTCCATCAGAATCACTTCCTCAAGTATATTCTAGAGTAGAAAGAGAAGAAAATGATTTTAACAGTGGAGTTGTTGCATTTGAAAAAAAAATAGAAGAGGCTAAACAAAATGACTCAATTATTCAACAGTCTTTATTGCATCAATCAGAACTCGAGCATTCATCTCATCTTTCTCAAAGATCTAGTCTTCATAACGCTAATTAATTTATTATTTGAATTAAATGTGATATATTACATTTTCTTAGTAAAAATGTAAAATCAAAAAACTTAGAAAAAGAATAAAATAAATCAGTAAATGATTGGATTATTGATTTGTTTCTCTGTGGTTAATGCATTCAAGACTGATGTATATTATTCTATTTCAAGTGAAGAACCTGTTGAATGGAATAAAAGAGGAACAATTGAATGCAATAATTATCAATGCACATTTGAAAATGAACAAAATTTAGAATTTACAAAGGTTAGTTTTTTATTCTTTTATCATTTAGTTATGTTTAATCAATTAGAATAATGAGTTATGGTATTATATAAAAGTAGATAATACTTTCACTTCAGTCCCAATAAACAGTGTATCATCTCAAATGACCGATTCAATTCAACTTTCATTGTCTGGTGATTCAGTTGAAAATATTTATTATAGTGTTAATGGTCGATCTTCAACATTAAAAACATCTGCATCACTACTACGTTCATCTGAATTCCCCAAAACTCGCCCTGAAAAAAGGCCACCACCAGAAGAAGAAAAAGGTTTCTTCGCCAAGTATTGGGTGTGGATTTTAATTGGGGTTGTTGCTCTTTATTTCTTCTCGGGATAAATAACAAAAAAAAATTTGTTATTTTATTAGTTTTTTTTTTGTTTTATAACCAAGTATCATATACTCATTCGTTCGTTAGTTTTTAATTAATCTTGACGGTACAACCGTTAAGGGGTATTTCAGTTGTACACGTTTCAACACGGAGTAGAGTTCAAAATAACTCCAAGAAGAACATCTGATATGTTCAAACAAATAACCATTATAAAGAAGAATTCGTGTAGATTCTGAAAACTATTGAGATAAGAATAAAATTGAATTTTTATAAGTATTAAAAATAAAATTAACTCAAATAGCGTTAGACATAATGTTGAAAGGAAAAAGTAAAAAGAATAGAGTTACATTCAAAACTTATGAAAATTTAAAAAAAACCAGTAACTGAATAAATTTTTGTTTTGAATAGAGTATCCTTCACATTTTTTTAAACTACATTACATTTCTTGTGGAATTTTAATAACCAAAAAATTAGGGAGTTGTTGCTAAACTTTGATGGAACTTTTTATCACTTATATATTTTTACGCAGGTTAACAATTTTTTCTGTATTAATATTTTATAAGAATAAAGAAGAACTTAGATATTAACGAATTACTTATGGAACATACAAACATCAAACAACAAAAAACTCATTCAAAAGTAATACATCCTTGGAAAAAAACTGAAGACCAACAATTACTTGAAGCTATTCAGAAATATGGAGAAGCTGATTGGAATAAAATTAAAGATGAAGTACCAACGAGAACAAAAAAACAATGTAAAGAGAGATATTTCAATCATTTATGTTCTCGAGTAATAAAAGATAAATGGACAAAAGAAGAAGATAGTCTTATTCTTAATAAAATTAATGAATATGGACATCATTGGACATTAATTAGTCAATTTATTCCAGGAAGAGCACCTAATTCTATTAAAAATAGATTTTATTCTCATTTATCTAAGATAAGAAATAAATATTTTAATAATACTAATGCATCAAATGCATTAATACTTGATTCTGAAACAAATCTTATTCAAAGTGCATTTATTCCTGCTTCATCTCATTCTTATACCGTTATTAATGTAAATTCTTTTTATTAATAAAATGATTCTTTTAATAAAAGATGTTTTTTTAATTAAACTTAAAAATTAAAACTTAAAATAAAACGAAGAAAAGATTTAAATCTAATGCTTTTGTTACGTTTCATTCTTCTGATTCTTCGATGCAGTTCTAAAATGAATGATCTTTGTGATGAAAACCAAAAGTGTACTTTTGTAGAAAATCGTTATTATTTTCAATGCGAAAATGAAAATATTACTATTCTTCAGAAAATAATCTCTTTTGATAAAGTTCACAATGGACTTTGTGATTGTGAAGATGGTAGTGATGAAAATGAAAATTTTTGCACATCAAAAATACAAGAGGCTCTTGAATTAAAATTAAAAGAATTAAAAGAAAAAAGAAAAAGTAATGAGACAATATCAGCTCAACGAGATAAATGGACTATTGATGGGAAAGAAGAAGCTCTTAAAGGAATTAAATTATTAAATTCTATTAGTGAAGAACTAAACAAATTAAAAAATACGGATAATTACCTTGAAAAATTGAGACAAGAACGGTTGATTTATTTATTAAATCAAACAGAATCAAATGAAGAAAAAAAGAAAATTAAAAAAGCACAAAATTACTTTGTTCATGATGTTATACCATTTGGTATTGAAGAAAAGATTAAAAATATTTTAAGACCAATCTTTCATTTTATTAATGACTTAAATCCTGAAGCAATAAATGACCAAACTTATTGTTCTATTCGTTATAAACTAGGTAAAGTAAGGTCACTTATTAAAGAAAAAGAACAACAAATTTCTCAAAGATTTGCTTATAATTCTGCTATTATTAGTGGTGACTATTGTGTTTTTGCATTAAATAATATTTGTTTAAAGTATCAAGATTATGAACTATGCCTTGGAAAAAACTTTACAAAGAATAATCAACTCATTGGAACATACAAAGGACATTTAGGACATTCCAATATTTACATAGGTTATTCACATGGCTATGAAGTTCGAAGTAAATTGACTGTACTTTGTGGAAAGGAAAACAGAGTTAGTATCATTAATTCCATTAATTTATCTTCAATTAATGTATTTATAGAATCACCTTGTGGATGTTCAGATACAATACTATTCAAAGAGATTGACGACCAAATAAAATCAATTGAAACAATCATCAAACAACGGACAAAAAATTCACTTGAGTTAAAAGATGAAAATCATAAGAATAGTCGAAAGAAGGATGAAGAGACTATTTGAATTATTTGTTATTTTAATTGCAGTTTGATTAACCTTTGTTGTTTGACTTTTTAATGTAGAGTTTTCACAAACAAAACTACAAGCCTCATGAACAGTTTGTAATCTATCTTCAACATTTTCATACATTGTTCTCCAATGATGATTACTTGCAAGACACAAACATTTCTCTATTTCAGTTTTTGGTTTATCACAAAACTCTTCGTCTTCAACAACCTTTTCTTTGCATAACACACACTGAGCAGTTTTTGAAGAAGGACAGTTTGTTACATTAAAATCATATTGGACTGGTTTCCTAATATATTCAATGTTAATTTTAACATCCATCATTTTATTGGTGAGGTCTTTAGCAAATTTATTTGCTTGTTTTCTAATTCTTGTTCGTTCACTTGCCTCACTAAGAGTAAACAATAAAACAAAAAGGAAATACAAAATCATATTATGATTTTTAAGATTTTGTTTTTAAGATGTAATATTTTTTTTTGTTTTTAAGATGTAATATTTTTTTTTGTTTTTTAAAATTTTTCAATTACTTTTTTATTTTATGTAATAACTTTTCTCATCAAAGTTTTGACTTTTCATATAATGAAATGGAAAGACATTCAATAAATTAGGAGAATATAATACTTAATCCTTTATAAACAATAAAGAAAGATAGTATTGATGAAGAGATTTACTGATGAAGAAGAATATGAAATGTTTTCTATTAAACTAAAGCATGTCAAATGTAATGATAAAAGTCAACCATTAATTGAAGAAGGAATAACAATAAAGAAGAGAGAGGAAGATATTTTTGCATTTATCCCATTCCAACATTATTTCTTAAAGCATGTTACAACTCATGATAAAAGTAAACCACAAATACCAACTCATCTAAAGAAATTATTAAGTCTTGACCATCAAAAATTAATGAAACAAATCACTGAGAGAAGAGTGGAATAATTAGCTTAATTGAAAATATGTTTTTGATAAAACTCAAACTACCGTTATTAATTTCATAATATAAAATAAAGACACAAAATCTTATAATATTAGTTGATTATGGAAATACAAAAGATAGAACAAGTCATCAGAGACAGAAAAAACAAAAACAAGTTATGATAAAAATTTATTTTGCTATTAATGAGTGTTTATTTTGTAAAGAGAAATTAATTTCTATTAAAGAAATTTTTAGTCAGTCAGATGTTTAAAATTTATTCATTTTTTCAAATGAAGAGTCTTTTATAGACAAAGAGAGATTGCTAAGAAAGTTATATTCAATAGTAGATGTAGAAAGAAGTTGTATTTAGTGTCACAAAAGTTGTTTGTTTATTGCTGATATTAAAAACCATATAACATTGGCATTTGTCAACACCAACAAATACAATAACCCATAAAACAATAAACCATTCAATAATGTAAATACCAATACATAATTCAATATAAAAAAAATTAAATTTAAATACACCTTTTTATAGAAAGACTCTTTACCAAAAAGGTTGTTTACAAAGAAATGGACAAACAACTACATCAAATATAAAGTCATGATGAATAATTAATGTTTTTTAATGTTTTTTATATCAATTCAAATTGAATGATTCAATTTTGTTTTTAAAGTTCGCTAAGAAACAGACAAATTTTCTGTTTTTAAACTAGAATTAAGTCATTTTGAATAAATTTCTACCAGTTTTTTCATTTATCAATCCTTTTTTCAAAATTTTTATTTTAATTTTTATTTTAGATTCATCTAAAAATAGTGAATAGAGGCGACCAAAACTGGAAAACAAACAAATAAAAGAGAATAGGAGAAAATTCACTAATAAAACGGGATAATTAAAAGAAAAGAAGTTCACCTACAACCATCTCATTAAATAACGCTTCAGAATGCCACGTGGACAATCAATTTAAGAGTTGAAATGAACTGTGTGTGAACAAAGTAAAGAGATGTCTGGATTTGATCTTAGTGAAGTTGCTGGCCCAGTTGCTGAAGTCATTGATGATAAAAATGAAGAAGTTGAATATGTCGTCTTTGGTGTTCAAACTCAACCAAATAAACTTGTTGTTGATGCTAAAGGAAAGGGAGGACTTGATGAAGTTAAAGCTGCCCTTAAGGAAGATGCTCTTCAATTTGCTTATTATAGAACAATTTCTGGTGATGAAGAATCAAGACGTGTTAAATTTGTCTTCATTTCATGGGCTGGTGAAGGAATTAAGAAACCAAAATTAAGAGCTGTTATGTCTATTCTTAAGGGTGATGTTAAGAATGTTATTAATAACTTCCATATTGAATTACATGCTACTTCATTAGATGATCTTGTCGAAGATGAAATCGCTGCTAAAATTAAGAAGGCTGGAGGAGCTGATTACTCTTTCAATACCACCTCAAATTAAACGCTTCTTTTTAACCCATTCATTAGCGTACTAATTTTCTTTTAATGTTTTCTTTTTTTAATAAAAAAAATATATTTTATTACATTTAATAAATATATTAAATTTTTTATTTCATTTGTTGTCTTTAATAAAGAAAGTATTTTTATTGATTTTTTATTATTATTTTGAATATCATTTTTTATTATAATTATAAAAAATGTTATTCTTATTGAATAAAAACCTTTGCTTAATTCACCAATATTAAAGAATTTTGATTTGTTCTTTCTTCAAGTTTTTTAAAGACAAAAATTATAAGATACTCAGGTTTCATTTAATAAAACTAGTAGTATTTAATTAAATGATCTCAATATTTAGTATTTATTAAACAATTAAATGATTACGAAACATTTATCAAATATTCTGAATCTTCCTAATTTTATGAAAGAATTAAATGGTAATTTACTTCTTCAACAAAAAACAGGAAATAAAAAAGAAGAACAAATTAATTTATTAAAACAAACAATAAATGCCTTGTATATCTTTCCAAATGAAATTTCTAAAGATGTAGATGCATTAAAAGAGAATGTATTACCATTTGATCAAAGAGCTTCTTCAAATGGTGATGATAATAGATTAAGTGCTTTTCATTATTGTTATTTAAATTTAATTAATTTAATAAAAACAAAACATCCAAAAAAAGCATGTATTTATGCAATGAAAGAGATTAAAACATCAGAAGAATATATTGAATCATTATCTAAATTTGTGTTTGTACCATTGTTATATCAAGAGGTATTTATCTATAGTTGTTGTGAAGAATATTTATCTATAATTAATTTAGAGTATCAATCACCTTTATTATTTTGTCAAATACGTTCATTAGAAAATATTGGTATTGCCTTAGGTGTATATTCTCCTTCTCCAGATCTTCTTCATTGGGATGATGATTTCCCATTAAAATGCTGTCAATTAAAATTTGAGTTACCAAAATTCACACCACCTAATTTATCAAAAGCAGTTGGAGAACGCGCTTTATTTAATGAGGCAATGCTAGACAAATTAAGTTTATGTATAAAATATCTTCCAGAAGGTAATGTAAAATGTTTAATAAAAATGAAGCTAGCATTATTTTATTTTCAAAATGCTAAACATGAATTAGCTTTAGAATTACTTCTTGAGATATCAAAAGAATTTACTTTAATGAATCATTTAACAAGGTCGTATTATTGTTATATACTTGCATATCATTGTACGTCTTCAATAAAAAAAAGAATATTCATTTTATTAAGACTATTAACATTATCAAAGATTGATGAAGATACTAAAATAACACTAGCAACTAATTTTAATATTACTGGACATCATTTACTTAAAACGTCTTCAATCGTTAATGAATTAAAACAACTTTTCACTTCATCACAAGAAGAAACAATAAGTGCTGAAAGTGTTATTACAATTTCTACTCAGCCTATATCATTAACACTAAACATTCCATTGACGTTGGAGTGTATTATTAATAATACTGAATTAATTTTATACCCTGACCAACCAATCGTTTTGGCAATCAACTCTTCTCCTCTTTTGGTTAAAATTAAGAACGGTCCAACACTTCTTATTCCAACTCCAATTCATTCAAAGAATGAGTCTAATCAACCAATTACTATGGAATGTCATATGCCAGAATTTATTAAAGTAGACAAAGAGTGGGAAGGAAAAGTAGGAGTTAAAATTGACATGAATAAGCATGTTTCAGTATTCAAAGTTAAAGGTAAAATCTTTAAAAAAACTACAACGGTAGCTTATAAATTAAAAAACTCTTACGAATCAGTAGATGGTAAGATATCAATGAAACATGGAATTATTGATATGACTTCATTTGAAGTACCATGTCAAATTGCATTATACTTACCAATTAGAGGTTTAAGTTATGAAAAAAAAGATTGCAAGTGTTTGTTTAAATGTGAAGGAGAATGGCAATGTAGCCTAGAAACTATTGCCATAGTACAAGACCCTATTTCCTTTCCTAGTGTTGTCCATCCTATTCATCAAAATCAACACTGGTGTGTTGAAATACCTATTAGTAATAAAGTAGATGGTAATATTATGATTAAAACTATTGCACTAAGTGTTAATAATGTAATTACGAATAAACTAGAAGAGGATATTGAAGTCTGTAAAAACCAAAGTTATAATTATATTATTAATAGCTGTTCAGATGGGAATCAACAATTAGATGTTGTATTTGAATATAAAGGAAAAATATACCAATATAATAATACTATAGACTTTATTAAAATACCAACATTCTATAAGGTTCAATACAAATGGGATACTTGTGTTATTAGTAAAGGAGAATCAGTAAATGTTATTTTGTCAATAACAGCAAATGAAGACAATAAACATTTATTAGTTCAAGTAGATAATAATGATTATTTTTGTGTTTGTGGATTTAATACTAGAAAAATCCAGTTAGAAGTTGGTGAACAAATAACAATCAATTACCAATTTATTAGTCTTCATGCAGGAATATGTGCATTACCACAAATTAAATTTACTCGTAATGGAGTAGATTTACGAGTTGAATATGAAAATGAATTACCAAACATAACTGTATTACAAGAGAGTGAATGGTTTGATATGTTAAAAGAATGAAGACTCAGATTAAATAATTTAATTATTTCTAAAATATCAGGAATTACTTTTTTACATTTCAGAAGATGATGTATCTTCTTGTTCTCCAAGTGCTTCAATTGTTAATAATTCAATATATTTTTTTCCTACTTTACCTGATATTACAACAAAAGTGAAATAAGTTATAATTAATAATAGTGCAACAACAAATGAAATGACTAATAAGCATGTAAAAATAATACTTACCGTTCTTGGATCGAGTAGGTTAGTTGGACAATCTGTTGAATATAACCAAATTTCAATTGTATTAAGTGAAGATTGTAATCTATTATATGTCTCACTTCTCATATGTAAACTTACTTCATTTCTATCAAATAAAATTGATCCAACACTTGATATTGCAATTGGAATAACTTTGTCCACACAAATATTTCCATTATAATTTGCTTGAAGTGATAATTGATTAAGTATTTCAACTGAATGAGTAGATAAAATTTTAGGATTAGAATTTAATTCAAATTCTAATTTCACATTATTTAATTCTAAATCAATAACATTACTTGATTTACAAATAATTTGATTTGAGTGAAGAAATATTGTACTATTTTCTATTCGTGATGGTAGTTCTTCTTTTCTTTCTTCCTCTTCAATCAGGTTATTTGTAAGATCATGTGATACATAGAGAGGACCTTTTCTAATTTCAATTAATGAATTATAAATACTAATGTCATGAATACACCCAGAGTCTAATCTAATGATATTATTTTCTGTTTTAGGACTTGTTTCTAATGAATAAATAAAATAATTCCCTTCTACTATAAGTTGGTTTGTTTTTTCTTTTACAACTAAATTTGAAATATAAAGAGATGATGAACCATTTGTAGGTAATAAAGTAATGTTGCCAATTACCATATTATATATATCTGTATGTGTATATATTAATGTTGTGTTTGTATTATTTGATATTTTAAGAATTCCTATTTGACCTGATAATTCATTTAAAACAATCGGTTGAGATATATTACTTATAACAATAATACATTCTGACCCAAATGTTGGGTTAGTATTACAAGGACAACTATTGGTTAGTTCCATTGTTGTCCATATTTCGGGTTGATTAAATGAATATTCTCCTTCATTCAAACCAGTTTTAATCGTACAAGTTATTGAGTTAGAAAGCACACAATAAAACCCAATAAAGAAGAGTACTTTAGAATAGCACATAATATGAACAAAAACTAGATAAACTAACATTTCTCACAATAAAAACAATAATATAAAAAAAAAAATATTTTGGATAAATACCATAATTTTTTATTAAACTATTTATTATATCACAATTCATTTACTCTAAATTGGAACTTAAACTTAAAATATCTTAAAACAAGATGGAAGATGGAAAAATAGATATTAACAAAATTCATATGCTTCTTTACTCTAAGCTTGAAAAAAGAGATAAAATTGAAAAAGAACCATTTAAACTTGTTACTAAATGTTGTGGCTCTGGTGGAGAAGCTAATGAAACAGCTGAATTAAGCGGTGAAATTGATAAACTTAAACAAGAAAATATTGATATTGTTAAAGATTATCATAAAATTTCAGTTAAACTTAGTAATGTTGAACAAGAAAAAATTGCTGTTGAGCAAGAATTAGAACAAACAAAAAATATGGTCAAATTAAAACAAGAAGAAGTTAGTGTACTCCAAACTAAGAATGATGAAGTATTGAAAGATATTCAAAGTAAAATTGAAATGATTAATGTTATTCGTCAAGAAAGTTCTGCTCATCAAATTAATAGAATTAGACTTGAAGATGATTTAAAACGATTAAATATTGAAAATCATCGAATTATGGATGAATATGCTAAATTGGAACAAGAACTAAGAGTAACAAAAGAATTATACTCTAAAATTCAAGCAAACCCCTCTATTACTCAACAACCACAAGGAAATAATCCACCAACTCAATCTTATTTATCATCAAATGCTACCACCTCTTCTTCTCAAGTTAATGGAATGAATGTAAGTGCTAGCAAGTTACCCACAGAATGTAAAAGACAAATCACAGGTCATTCTAGTGATATCTTATGTTTTAGATATAATTCAAATGGTACTGTGCTTGCATCTGCCTCAGCAGATAAAACAGTAAAGTTATGGGATGTTGCAACTGGTAAAATTAAATCATCAGTTGGAGGTGTATTACAAAGTTTTACACATTTATCTTTTAGTCCAATGGGAGATATGTTACTTGCTACTAGTAATGATTCTACTGCTAAAGTATGGTATTTAGCTAACTCAAGATTAAGACACAGTTTAACTGGACATAGTGGTAAAGTAACTTGTGGAGAATTTTTTGACACTGATAAAATTATGACTGGTAGTCATGATAGAACATTAAAGACATGGGACGTTAATAAAGGTTATTGTCTTAAAACTACAGTATGTTTTTCTAGTTGTAACTGTATGATGATGGGTGGAATGGGTAATTTAGTATTAACTGGACATTGTGACAATACCATAAGATTCTGGGATATTAGAAGTAAAGAATGTATTGATATTAATAAAAATATTCATACAAGTTCTGTAAGTGATATTATCAATATATTAGATGGGAGATATTTTGTTAGTATTGGTAAAGACAATATTATCCAATACGTTGATGGTGTAGAAAGAAAAGTTATTTCATCATTTTCTCATCCAGACTTTACAGTAACAAGCTCATCTAGAATATGTTGCTCTCCTGATGGAAAGTATATTATTGCAGGTTCTTCAAATGGAGAAGTTTTCTGTTGGGACACTCAAACAAAGAAGTTAGAAACAGTACTAAAGCCAAAGCTAACTCAACCAACTAAGGTTGGGTGTTATGCAGTTTCATGGAATCCAGTTCAATCACAAATTGTTTCTGGACATGCCAATAAGATTGTTATATGGGAAAATTAAAACAATTTTTTATTATCATTATATAAAACATTTTTAAAGTAAAAAAAAGAAACTTAAAAAAGAACTCATAAAGAAAAAGTAAGATAACAATATGGCAGAAGAGAAAATTGCATTAATTCAAAAGAATTATAACGAATTAGAATATGATGATAACATATTGTATGGTGGAATTGTTATTAAATATCAACATGTTTGTGAGACTGTTATTGAAGGTCAAGATTTAAATAAACAAAAGAGTGCTGTAGAAAAAATAATTGGACAACTCAAAAGAAAAGAAGAACAAGAACAAGTTAAATCGTTTGAAGGACAAACGTTTGTTTTATTATTTATATTAAAAAAAAAATAATAAAATAAATTTAAATTCTTAATATGATAGAAGGACAATTTATGTATTACAGAATGGACTTATTACAGTTATTTTAGTGTGTAATATTAGATTTCGTTTGTTACTTAATTAAAGTATTAATGAATAATTAATAATTAATCTTATAGCACCTAAATTAGCATTTGCTACAATGAAAAATATTTATTCATTCTTTTATTCTACTTTTAAAAAAACAATAGACGGTTTAAATTCACATTCATTTGTTAATATTGAAGAATTTGATAGCTTTAGACCTAAATTACTCGATTTTATTATGAAAGCAAATAACGATGAGACTGATGAAACCCGTGTTTTAAGAAAGAAAACTAAAAATTTTTATACAACAACTGAGGTTTCAGTAAGAAAGATTGGTGAACGTGGTAAAAAAGTAGCTGACCTTGAAAAACAAGCTGACACAATGAAACAGGCTTCTTCTGATTTAAGTGCATCAGCCGTTGATGTTAGAAACCTTCAACGATGTAAGTATTGGAAAAGAAAGTCTATTGTTATTATTTTATTAGTTGTTTTAGTGTTAGGTATTATTGGTATCATTATTGGAGTTTGTTTCCAATTCATTCCGAGAGGTAACAATAGCAGATAATTCGTTCATTCTTTCATTTTTTTATTTTAATTTTATTATTATAACTATTCTTTGAAAAGAATTTCATTTAATGTTATGTTTGAAAAATTATTTAAGTCTTATTTAACTACTTAATTGTATTCTAAGAAATAAAAAGTATTTTTATTTTTTTAATATATTTATAATTATATTAACTAAAATTTAATTAATTAATAATAATGCTTTGAAATTATTGTTGAAAATTAAAATTAATTCTTAATTCTCCTCTTGAATAATAAATTACTTTCACACTTTTTAAATAGTCCTTGTTTATTTTTTTGTTTATCCCCTTTCAACACTTCTTTGAGACTTAGCTCTCTTTTATTACTTTTATCTTTTCGATAAATTTTGTATTTCTAAGTATGAACTTTATTACTGTGTTTCTTTTCATATTCACTTGACATAAACATCCTTTTTAGGAGTCATCACTAAACTTTAACTTTTTGAACTCATAGAATAATCCCTTCACTCCTTCTATCAACAAAATTTATAAAACTTCCTAATAGCTAAACGCCTCAATTTTATGTCTTACAAGATAACTTAGTCACTTAAACAAGAAAAAATGAAATGATAGGTTTATAGTTTTTTTATTGAATAAAATATTCATTTGAGTTTGTCAACTGACTTTTCGCATAATGTTTTATTGTTTACTGGTTCTCAAATAACAATAAGATTAGATTTTATCATTTCGAAGTGATTAGCCAATTCTTCTTAAATATTATAACTTTGTATTTTAATATTTTGTTATTATATGAAATGTTTAATAGTTTTTCTCATTTTCCTAGTTGATTCATTTTTTCTTTTGTGTATTGCTCTTAATGTATTTTCTTCAAACAAACTCATGGTTTGTTTCATAAAATTATTTACATTTCTTTTTATTAAAATTTCTTATCTTTGTATTGTTTCATCAGATAATCTACAATAAATATGATGGAATTTTAATTATATAAAATACTTAAAAATCTTTTTTTATTTTTCCATTTTATTTTATCTTTTATTCTTTCCTTTTCTTTAAGTTTTTCTTGAAAATTTAGTTCTAACAAAAAAGATTTAAAAACTATTTTACAAATCAACTTAATTCTCCTTTAAATAAAAATTATTTTTTTTTTATAATATTTTTTTTATTAATAATTAAAACTATTTCTTATTAAACTAATACTATTATTCCCTAATTTTTAATTAAACGTCATTGGATCTTTTAATTATTTCTAAAAATTCTTATTAATATATTTTTTATAGAAATCAGAGCAAAAATTCATTTTTTAATTACTATTGAAGATAATAATTAAAAAATGAATTAAAAATTAATAAAAGAAAAATTAAAATTTATATTCT